GGGGTGGCCATCATTCCTGTGATGGCAAAGCTAAAATTTCAGCAGCAATTACTCCAGTCTTCAGTGTCATGTGAGCATTCAGAAATCATTATAATATGCTGATTTGGTGCTCAAGAAAAATTACTTCTTATTATCAATATTGAAAACAGTTGAAGCATCCAGTTCAGCAGCTGAAGACTGCTTTATATTTTTGTGGAAACCTTGATACATTTTTTTTTTCAGGACTCTTTGATGAATAGAGTTCAAAAGAACTGAATTTATCATTTTATATATAATATTATACATAATAATATTATAATATTATACATAATATTATATAATATTTAAAATATATCAAGTATTATACAATATAAAATACAATATATCAAATATTATATTTATATATAATATTTATATTATTATTATGTATGATATGTTGTATATAAATTTATATAGACATCTTTTGTAACAGTATAAATGTCTTTACTGTCACTTTTGACCAATTGAATGAGTCCATGCTGAATAGAAGTATTTATTTCTTTGAATAAATAAAAAAGAAGGAAAAAGAAAATGTATCTAGCTTTTTTTATTTCTCAATGGACAAATTCTGTTCTTTACCGCATTTGAGGCAGCATACTTATTCCAAAAAGATGTCTTTAAGTAACATTCGTAATGTAACATACCATTAAATGCATTTAAACCCAAATGACAATAGCAAATACTCTGATACAGCTTTTACACAGAACCAAGTGTAAATACAATTAGACAAGAATTTTCAATATTTCATAGCTGTGTTGCTGTAGCGTGAGACCGGATGCAGTCGTCGCTGTGTGGGATGACTGTGTTCCTCTGCATGTGCGGGTGGAGTGGGCATGAAGTGGATACAGAGCGAGTCTTCTGCGAGTTTGTCAGTGTCTGCATGTTCCGAGCTTTTGTGCTTTAACCAAAAGCTTTAACAAGAAAGACTTATTTATTCTTTACGATTTAAGCTTGTGAACATCTTCAGGTATGAATATGCTGTGGGTGAATGTAGATAGATGCGACTGAGTTGTTCAGCAGTCAGTTTACTCTTCTGTCTGTTTTCCTCTTTTAGATATGTCCCCAGTGCTGGCGGGGTTTATCGGTGCCGGTGTGTTGGTCGTTGCAGTCATTGCATTAATCTTTGTGTGGACTTGCTGTCAGAAACATTACAACAGGACAAACTACAAGCTCCATGGAATCCAATCAGAACAAAGTGATCCTCTCACAGACCCACCGTACAGGTTTATTCACATGCTGAAAGGAATGAGCATCTACCCTGACACGCTTACCAGCAGCAAGAGGATCATACGAGTAGCACGCCAGGCCAGATCCCAGACCACCGATGGGGCTCAAAGCAACAAGGGTCGCCCAGTGGTGCTGGTAGATATGGATGTGGCAGCAGAAAGCGGCCTGCTGGGAGAGAAACAAATGCAGACGAGGCTCGGGGAAAGTGGCCATGAGGTTCCCAAGCTGGAGAGGGAACTTCCTGTGCATGCAGATTATTGCTGTCTGGACAGCAGCTCTGCCAGCAGCAGTCAGACCTCCAGTACTACGGTTTCCAGCACAGCTACACCCTTCACCCCCGCAGAAGAGCCCAGCCGAGGAGATCTCAGCATCGCAATCGATTATAACTTCCCTAAGAAGGCCTTGGTGGTCACCATCCTGGAGGCTCGGGGGTTACCGGCCGTAGAAGGCAATGCGGGCAGTGCCGACCCCTATGTGAAGATGACCATTCTCCCCGAGAAGAAACATCGCGTTAAGACTCGGGTCCTGAGGAAGACTCTGGAACCTGCGTTTGATGAGACCTTCACATTTTATGGCGTGCCGTACAGCTCCCTGTCGGATCTCACTCTGCACTTTCTGGTGCTGAGCTTTGACCGGTTCTCACGAGACGATGTGATCGGGGAGGCGATGGTTCCGCTGGCAGGTGTGGATCCGAGTACAGGCCGGGTCCATATTACGCAACAGATCACAAAGAGAAGTATGCAGGTGAGAAAGAGCATAAAAAACACATATGAGCCAAAACTCAGTCTATCCTATAGTACATTGTTCAAATTCAATTTTTTTTTATTATATTGTATAGCACAATGCAGTGCGTTATATACATGCAGCATGAAAAAGAAAGATCAAAAGCAAGAATAAGAATTTTATATTTTATTTTTTATTTATAATCAGTGTTGGGAAAAGTTACTTTAAAAGTAATGCATTACAATATTGTGTTATTCCCTAAAGAAGTAACTAATTACTGTTACTGTCTCATCCTCCTACTGCAGTTTGTAGTCATTGATAAATGTGCTTATCCTCCTGCTCAGAGTGGGTTTAGATGACGCGTAGTAGGGCTGCACGATAAATCGCATGCGATATTTAACGCGCATCTTATCAGTAAAGCCGGTTCTGTAATCAGCGGTAAATCTCCATCACGTGCGTGCTTTCACATTGAGCAGCATTAACTACACAGAGCCATTGTTCACTGACGAGCTGCGCAAAACCACATTCATATTCGCGCGATTTTTTGCGCAGCTCGTCAGTGAACAACGGCTCTGTGTAGTTAATGCTGCTGGATTCTGAACTTTGTCGCGTCGCTGGACAGGTCACTTGTAGTGTGAACGGGGCTTTATGCTGCAGTTCTTCCAGTGCTGTTGAGGTGCTTAGTGAACCTAGGGATATTCTTACATGTATTGTAATGTTGATTCAAGCCAAAGAGGTCTATTCAATAATTATATTGTCTTAAATACTTTAACTTGTTGTCTTTTTAAACTTTTGTGTCTGTGTATTTGAATTTTTGCAGTGTGTGAGCCATGGAGAGCTGCTGGTCTCTCTTTCCTATCAGCCTGTTTCTCACAGACTGAGTGTGGTGGTGTTAAAAGCAAAACACCTTCCAAAATTGGACATCACTGGCCTATCTGGAAGTAAGTGTACATTTAAATGATAAAAAAAAAAAATTATAACACTTGTTTAAAAGTTCTGGGGTCAGTATGATTTTTTAATGTTTTTAAAGAAGTCTCTTGTGCTCACCAAAGCTGCATTTATTTGATCAAAATAATTTTATGAAATACTATTGCAGTTTTCTATTTGAATATATTTTAAAATGTAATTTATTCCTGTGTTGGTAAAGCTATACCAGAGGTATTACTCTTGTCTAATATGCTAATCCAGTGTTCAAGATACATTTCTTATTATTATCAATATTGAAAACATTTGTGCTTCTTAATATTTTTGTGGAAACGGTGATACATTTTTTTCAGGATTTTTGATGAATAGAAAGTTCAAAATAACAGCATTTTTTTAAAATAAATTTATTTGTAACATCATAAATGTCTTTATTTTGATTAAATTGCTGAATTAAAAGTACTGATATTTAAAAAAAACAAAAAATGACAGACCCTACAAAAGAAACCTTTGACAGTCAAATATACACAGTGTATATTTAACAAATTACATTATTTTTAATATAATACATTAAATTTATGTAAAATTACAATATTTTTTAAAAATAGATTTTTTTATATCTCACCTAAATATCTAATCTAATGATTAATTTTGTGTCCCAGATCCGTATGTGAAGTTGAATGTGTTCTACGGCCACAAGCGCATTGCCAAGAAGAAAACTCATGTGAAGAAATGCACGCTCAATCCAGTCTTTAACGAATCCTTTATCTATGACGTGCCGGCCGAGTTGCTGCCAGACATCTCTATTGAGTTCCTGGTCATGGACTTTGACCGCACTACTAAAAACCAGGCCTTGGGACGCCTGGTTCTTGGCGCAAACAGCCCCTGCCCCTCGGGAGCCGCCCACTGGCAGGAGGTCTGCCAAAACCCACGGCGCCAAATCTCAAAGTGGCACACGCTCAATGAATATTAGAGCTTCACCACAATCTCTCTCCGCACACACGCTCAAACACAGGCACACAGGAAACATTTAATAACGAGAGAGAGAGAGTTCTGGGAAAAGATGCCTTTTGTTACCATCTCTACATGGAAGGTAACTAATTATCAGGAGGACTTGTGAAAAAAAAAAAAAGAAAGACTTAAGCCAACTTTTACGTCACTGCTAATGCGATGATGGGCCTCGGAAATGAATCTTTTTAAAGTACACATTTACTTTCTCACTCAGTACACATACACACCGCCTGAACACAAACATACATGAGAAATAATAAACGAGACCAAAATAACAAAAAAACATATTGACTGTTAGGAATTTATGAGGTTTGGGATTCTGTAACTGTCCTAATAAAACTTAACGCATGTCTTGACGCTCCATATTTCACTCCAGAACAGGACATTGTGTGGATTTGTGATGCTGGTACACATTAAGCAGGCTATTTTTTGAGGCATCTGATTTCCGGAAGTTTTTGAAAAGAGTTGTGATGAGCGTCTTCTGATATGTACTGATTCTCCACTGTATGAGAAATGCACTGAAGTGATACAGAGGTTGTATGATCTACGCTGAAGTATAAATTGTTCTGTTATGCTTTGGCTGGAGATGTTTAGGAGATTCCTGCTGTCACATTCTCCACAGCTACTTGTTGAGTCATGTGATTGTACAACAATAACCCTATTGGCAGCACTCTGGGCCTGATTTATTGCTTGTGCAATGATTTCATCATGTACTTTGAATAAATCTGGCCCTGAACAACTTAATCTGCACTGCTATGCTACAAACTCACTCTGAATGTCACTGTCTGTATGAATTACATACATCAGAGCTTCACTTCACATAAAACAGTGGCTCACTGTTTCGTAGATTGTACTAGCCAATGTCATCAGATTGCCTTTTTAAAGTGGATTGGATTCACTTTCATTTTAAATCCTGTGTGATATAGAGATAGACAAAGAGGTGGGTTCGTAGTTTGGAGCTGGGAAGCTCTGGTATATTACTGGGTCGTTCTGAGCCCTCTGGTGTGATGTTTGGGAAATGGAAGGATGTGTAGCTTTTTATCATTTGTAGTTCATAAAGTCAAGGGGAAGATGTTCATGTAATTCTATCAATAACAGTCTGTTCTTCTAGCATACCTCCATCTCAGTTTCACTTTTTTGTCTTATACCACTTTGTCACATCTCTCTTTTATGATGAGAACCTGTAAAGTCATGGTTTGCCAGTGTGCCTGCCGATAGCCTGGGCCTTTATCTCGGATTGGTGCTCCTCACTGTTAATTTACCAAGTTTGAGGTCTGAATCTGGCATAGAGTGTACTGTGTTTCATATGGCGTTAGAATTAAGATTGGGAACCAAAAAAATACTGGAAACAAATGACGTTTATCTCTATTAACGATTCTCGCATGTGCAATTTTTGCTAACATTGTATTAAAAAATTCTGACAGTTTCCTGTTTTATAAATTTCCTACACAATTTATTCAGCAGTGACATAACACTGCTACTGAATTTACAGCGTGAAACATATAGTGAGCCCAGTGTACTCCAATTACAGAATAAATGGCTCATGATTCAGTCCTTGTATTGAATCAAAACCATACAGTGTGACCAGTGTAGTATGATTCTCAAACAAATAATGAGTCCGATCTTTTTAATGAATCAAAAATATACAGCACAATTTAGTGCGACTCCCAAAAACGACTCTAATTGGGCAGTTTTTACTGAATAAAAATCATTTAGCACAACCAGTATACTAGGATTCCTGAACAAATGAATCTAATGAGTCGGTTCTTTTTAATGTATCGAATACACAACACAACTACAGCACACACTCTTAAAAATAATGGTTCTTTATTGGCATTGATGGTTCCATGAAGAACCTTTAACATCCATGGAACCTTCCATTGCAGGAAGATGGAAAAAAAATTATTTAGATCATTAAAATGATCTTTACATTAAGAAAAATGTTTCTTTTTAGAAATGTTCACTTGAAGATTCTTTGGGGAACCAAAAATGGTTCTTATATTGCATTGCTGCAAAAAAAAACTTTTGGAACCTTTATTTTTAAGTATATGACAACATGTAGTTACTGGTTGTGTAGTTTAAAAATACATATGTGTTTTGTATTTCATAAATATTAATAAAGAAAATCGGAACCAAAACCTTTACATTATTCTAGATTTCCATCCCAAGCAGGAAATGTGGCCATGATTCAGAAGACCCAGCAGTGCAGGGACAATAACAGATCTGGGAAACACACAATGTCACTTCCTATACATATATCCATTTCTGATCAATTCCCCACAAATTAGCCTCTAGTGGTCAGCTGGTTGTATGGCACATGGTTTGTCTATCATAGAGAAGTTAAGATTCTAAACTGTAATTCTGGATGGGAAAACGCTTCTTTCCATTCAAGCTTCTTACATGCTTAAGCCACACTCCCTGTATAAAAGCGCACCCTATCCACCCAGTAATGTCTTTCGTATAGAAGATACTTTTTGTGTGGGATCACTGGTATGACAAAATGGAAAGATATTAAAAGATTCAGTCCATGTGACAAACAACACACAGGAGAAAAAAACAATAGATTAAAAAATCATATGTGACCTATACACACAATCACTTTGGTGTTCAAAAATTAATTGGCAGGAAAAATGTTGTATTAGTGCAAACTAAAAAAAAAAATCTTGTGAATATTTGACAAATACTGTACTGCTAAATGCTGTGAGATCTCTGCTAATGTTACACACCCACCTGTATGTTAGTGTTCTTAACACCCACTGAATGTGCAAAATAAACGTGATACACAATTGAATTCTCTCTCCTCTAGTATATTTTCACTCCAAAATCTAAATTATTTGCATATTTTCAAAATGTGCTTATGGGTCATAGAAAATTAAGAACCTTGGGAAAATCAAAATATGCCAATATTATAGTGTCTTAGTAAATGAATGGTATTAAACCTAAACCAAAGAAAATATCTGCAGTGCGAGCAGTGATGTCAATTAAAATTAAATTTTTTTTAGCAATTACTAAATTAACCATGAGGGTTTCTTTTGTCTCGCTCTTAAATCACTGTTAAATTTATTGATAGTAAACAATTCTGATATTTAAACGTTATCAGACATGTTTGACTAAAAAATGAAATACAATAGCATCCTCTTTTGCTCCAGAAGCTTCATGGCAAGTCTGAGAAATTTCCCAGGCTCTATTTATCAAATGATTGTTTACACGCATTAAAAATGGTTTACTGAGTAATTTTTTAAGTTGAGAATTGAGGCAAATGTATATGAGACTACATGACTCTCCAAAGAGAGTCTTTGTGAAGGGTTTCAATTATGACTTGGCAACGTGAGATGACCTTAATATACTTCATCTCCAATGAAAAACTTTGATTTTCTTGGAAAAATCTGGTAAACCATGCTTCCTCATTCAATTTCTGAACCAGAACAGGAATGGTGATATAAAGGGAGCTGAACAACCCATTAAACTTTTGAACCGTGACAATAAAATTAAAACTGACTAGACATATAGGACTAGACTCTCTGTACACAGCAGACATATTCATACATCACAAGTTTAAGCTACATTTAGGTTATATTCTTTGAGATTTGTTGTCAACTCTACTTGTCTATTGATTACAATAAAGATCTGCATTGATATATATTGTCCTTCCACAGATTTTAAAGAATAAAGATAATTCTGTTGTAAACGCGATACCCCATGCAAGTCCTAAACTATTTTTCATCTGAAGCAATGCAATTAAGTCACAGCACATATGTGAGAAATGTCATATATGTGAGAAACAGACACAATCACACAGTCCTAAGACTGTCTTTGTCACTGTTAGGTAAACCAGCAAACTAGCAAAAAACGTCATAAAAATGTCTCGGCATTCGTGGACTGGCCGCACCCTAAATGAGGGGCATCACATGCATCTACCATGAAAAATGACAAAACCATCCAACAACAAAACCCTCGTTTCAGACACAGCAGACAAGGACTGAGACCTAATATAAAAGGGCAAATCTAGTGGGTTTGTAATAAAGATATTTTTTATTTCTACATTTTACATCTCAAAGGACTCACTCATTCATCTCAAAGGTAAGAACTGCTGCTGGTTTGAGTTTTTGACACTCCGCTTACCGTCTACTCGATAATAACCAAAAGCATGATACAACTACTTTTAGAAACTGGTTAATTGTGAAATAGTTTTGCAATCTTAGTAAATTAATGTGTCCTATAAAATTGACTTTTTTTCTTTATTATGAAATTTGTGCAACATTTTAAATCTATTACCCTATAACTATAGCTGACGACCAAAGAGTGTCTGAGAGAGATTGATAATTTTGGTTTCCTGTAAAATAAGCTTAGACAGGTGCCTAACATGTCCTTTAGTGTCCCAAACCAGCATCAGTTACTAATGCATCTTAGACAAACATGACCTGAAGCATTGGAGACTTTACCCGAAATATTATTGGTCCGTTATAAATTCACACAAGCTTTATAAGTCCAGTATCACATCTAGTCTTCATCTTACAATTATTTTTCTATTTATTTCACTCACAACACCCATTTTATTAAGGCAGATGTTCAAAGTTTTTGTTGTGATTATCCTTAATGTTATTTTTATTCAGATTGATTTCGGGGGGTTTTTTTGCAGGTAAGCACTTGCTCAGTACTAACCCACTGGGATCTGTAAGAGTGCCCCCTCTGTGCAGTAAGTGAATCTGAAAGCAACAAATTTGATATTATAAACAGGCCTGTGAGAATGCTTTGATCAGATTTGACACAGTTGGATTTTATTCCATGAGATAACATTCTGAAGAACCCTTTAATCTGGAGATTCCATCTGATTTGAAGATAAGTTTGAGAGACTTCAAAAACACTTAAAAATGCCTGTTTTTGAATGGTTTCATTGCTTTTGGTTGGAGGTCCTGAGCCATTACCTTGTATGATATTTCTGGAGCACCGGTGGCCAAATGACAGCTTCTATTCCACTGACACTTTTTTATACCACAATGTTATTCACTGCACTATTTACTATGTTTCTCAAATATACTTCAGAAAATACTTAAAAATAAACTGGACTTTTGTGCATTATTGTTTAATAAAAGTTTGTCGAAAAGCCACGGTATTTGATCCCAGTAATTTTCAAGGCTTCATGACAGACTTCTATCCACCCTTATATTCTATATTTTATTGTTTGAATGCTAGATCATTTTGGCCTGTGTGGTTTAAACGCTTAATGAAATTTCCACAGCAAGGATTTCAAGTTATTGTCTTGTGACATCAGCTGACTTGGCATGGGCAGGTCAAATATTGAATACAGAACAGTATTGACATAGCTGAAATTAAATGATAATGTCAGAATTATGAAGAAAAAAAAAAAAAAACACTCTATATCATACTTGAACGTTTTATGTTCTGCTTCCAGAGTGTAAAGCAGACATGTCTAGAGCAAGAAACAGTGAGGTGAGTTTTCATGAAGGGTCACTCCACACTGTTCATATTGCATCATTACCATGTTTAATAAGACACTGACTTGCCTGTGCAGGGGAATGTGCTAAAGCGTGTGGCAAAACTGCCACTCGTCAGCTCAGCGCTGCAGCAGGCCTCTTCCATCTACACGGGCGTGAAAGGTCGTTATCTGCTGCTCGGGTTAGTGGGAGGCGTAGCAGAGCTGGGCGTCCGTAGTGCATCCACAGCAGCCCTGAAACAAGCAGCACCTCTGCTACAGAACCTAGAACCAGAAAGTAAGTCCCTCATATGTGACCCTGGACCACAAAACCAGTCTTAAGTCGCTGGGGTTATATTTGTAGCAATAGCCAAAAATACATTGTATGTGTCAAAATGATTGATTTTTCTTTTATGCCAAAAATCATTAGGACATTAAGTAAAGATCATGTTCCATAAAGATATTTTGTAAATTTCCTACTGTAAATATATAAAAACTTTTTGATTAGTAATATGCATCGCTAAGACCTTCATTTGGACAACTTTAAAGGTGATTTTGTTAATATTTTGATTTTTTTGCACCCTCAGATTCCAGATTTTCAAATAGTTGTATCTCGGCCAAATAGTGTCCTATCATAACAAACCACACATCAATGGAAAGCTTATTTATTGTATTAATCTCAATTTCAAAAAATGTACCCTTATGACTGGTTTTGTGGTCCAGGGTCACATATGGTATCTCTAACAATGAACGAACATAAAACTGGAAAAATATCAAATCTCCAATGGAAATCAAATGCTCATAGTCAGGACATACGTGGAAAAGAGAAACAGATACACTTCTAATACATTTAATAATGTGATCATAATAATGGTGGTGACTAGAGATGCACTGATCGATCGGCCAGGGATCGGAATCGGCCGATTTTCCTCATGATCGGCCCGGATCGGTAATCAGTCGGTCAGTCTCACTTCTTTCCGATTTCGAGCCGATCCGTTTTGTTACCAGCGGCACAGGCAATAACATCAGCCGCGCATTCTAACTCTCATCTCATTTGTTGACTCTCATCAACAAAAGTGCACATTTTCATTTAATTGCAATTAACGTGCAATTAAGTGTCCAAAAGCATCACATTTTGTTACAGTTAAGTATAATATTTTAAATTATTTCCATAAGTACTTTTAAAAAAGTTTGCTAAAGTGTTCTTAAATGGACCTGTAGCACAATGACCAATGACTTCACCTGTGCCCTGATCTTTATTAAAAACTGAGAGGGGGAGAAGTTTAATACAAGTGATAATGCAATTATCACCCCAAAAAAAACGAACAGTCTGCGTTTAAAATTGAGAAAGACAAGCTTCTAAAATGAGCATGTCGCTAACTAGCTTAGCCGCTAGATGCCGAAATAACACATTAGATTAAACTATTTGTGCATATAACTCGATATATTGTGTTTGAATCCCTTGTTTCGCTTGCGTATTTGAGCATTAACGATACGATGGACATCGCTGATTCGTACTTGTAGATCTCGGAGACATCTAGAAAATACTGACATTTTGGGCGACGCGAGTTTAATCTGTATTTAATTTTTACAATGAAGACTACAGAAATTAAAGTAATCAAATGTAAAATAACACATCCAGTGTTATTTTACATTTGATTACTTTAATTTCTGTCATATTTCTTAACTGAATAAGAACTTACTTAACCTGAAAAACTTAGTTTCATAGCTCTCTTTATTCTATTGCATTTATTTGTGCTGTTGTTTGCAATTTTTTTTATTTGTTCTTATTTTATTACGGACTTTTTACTTGTGTTTTTTAATAAAAATAAAACTTGGCGTTGAAGAAAAGTAGACGTTTGTTTGTATATGCTGTCAATTATAGTTCTTAGAAAGAAAATCGGAATCGGCAAAAATCGGTATCGGCAGATCACACTAACAAAAAATCGGAAATCGGAATCGGCCAAGAAAATTGCAATCAGTGCATCTCTAGGTGACTTCATTTTATGTCTGCCTTTGCAGTCGAGGCAGTGAACAGTTTTGCACTGGTGGGTTTGGAGCAACTAGAGAAGCTTTTCCCAATTCTCCAACAGCCTACAGATGAGGTGAGTGTGTGAGTGAGTGGAACTTGAGCAACAGTTGTGTATAGCAGCTACCATATCTTGGCTGTCTGGTAAAAGTCAACAAATTTATTTTAAATAACAGAATTAATAAAGTTTTAAGTTATTATATTAACTCTGTTTTTGAAATAATTGTAATAACTAATTGGTATATTTCAATTATCTAAAATAATTCATTATTATTATATTTTTCCACATACACAAAAAGAATAATTTTTTAAGTATTCTGTTTAATATGACCTTCAGTACATATATAGTAAGTATTCCATTTTAACATAAGAGTAAGTACTTGCATTTTTGTTGAAATTCTATTAAGTGAATTAAGACGTAAGACTACTTTATTGCTAGATATTGTTATTTTATAGATATTTTACTTATTGAATTCATTTATGTCTGTATCAGTAGCCTTTGCTAATCTGAGGAATCAAAGTTAGGTGATTTTTTTTTTTTTTTTTTTATGCATGTAAGTACTTGCATTTTTGTTGAAATTCTATTAAGTGAATTAAGACGTAAGACTACTTTATTGCTAGATATTGTTATTTTATAGATATTTTACTTATTGAATTCATTTATGTCTGTATCAGTAGCCTTTGCTAATCTGAGGAATCAAAGTTAGGTGATTTTTTTTTTTTTTTTTTATGCATGCATGTATGTTTATTTATTTTGTCTGTGTGCATGAGTAATTAAAGGCTGATGCTGATGGTTTATGTTAGTTTTATTATTCTCTCATTTATGTGACACTTAACTAGTCTATTAGAGCTGCCCTTCAAATATAGAGATTAAAGGTGTTTTGAACAAAACGTTATAGGCTAGTCGAAGTTGTCGACTATTGGATGTCAGAATATCTCTGTCAAAACCATAGACTGTAAGTTATCGGTCAAAACTTGATTTGAGATACTGTTACATTATAACACAGCACCATAAATCCACTTTTAGCGGGTTTTAAGAGAGACAAGTCTTAAATAATTTTTTTTAAACTTTGTTTTGTGGTACATTTACTGAATGTAAATTAATCATCATGTGAACAAATAATGACAGTATGACTATTTATTTCGTCAGAGTTGTTTGCGTTACTGAAAGGAAAACGTTCATGCTACAGGTTCAGGCGACTTTCCCCCCACTTTTTCGGTTACTTTTTACTGAATTTACTAAGATGAAGTAGGTTCAAAGTAACTTGTTTAACGTTAGTAGTGTGTGTTTGTAGCTATTTTTGTTGTAGGCCTACGTGCGTTTTTGTTTTCCCTCAGTGCTTCGCCACTTTTCAAATGAACATCTCGATGTTTCTTCTGATGCTGTCCATACCTCTCTTGATGTTGTCCTTGCCCTCTCTTCCCTCAGGTGGTTGCTAATCTGAAGGACGCTTTCTTCTCGAGGCTAGATGATGCGCAGTCTCGAGTGAATGATGAGCTGGACAGAGCCGTGGACAGATGGGATAAACTGATGCAGCTGAGCTGGCGCCTCCTGGCGGAAGCTCAAGACTCGGCTCCAGGGCGAGTGATCACCGCGGGTCTGGATGAGCTCATCACTCAGTCAGAGGCGGCAGTGGCCAACTATCTACCTCTGCCACCCACGCTGCGTAAGAAAGTGTGGCACGAACTCATACAGGCTCTGCCCGGACATGGAGACACATTTTTTTGTCTGAAATTATCAGGAAATAACCATTTAAAAAATGTGTACACAAGACTTAACCACAAGGGGGAGCAAATGTTCTTCTGTTTTGCTAGTCGTTTGGCACCATCTCACTCTCAAAGGGTATAGAGCAGGGATCCTCAAATCTGGCCCAAGAGATCCACTTTCCTGCAGAGTTTAGCTTTAACCCTAATCAAACACACCTGAGCATGCTAATCAATGTCTTCAGGATCATTAGAAAATCACAGGTAGCTGAGCTGAGTTTGATCAGGGTTGGAGCTAAACTCTGCAGCGCATTGGCCCTCCAGGGCAAGATTTGAGGAACCCTGGTATAGAGAAACGTGTAATAGCATAATACTTTATCAAATGAGCTTTTTTTCATTCAGAGACTAAACCTCTTTCGGTTGAATTCTGAATAATAGAGTTTGTTTTGAAATCACAACCACTTTTTTTCTCATCCTGCAGGTCTCGAGTGGGAGAGAAGAGTGCAGAGCTATGAAGATGAAGAAGATGATGATGATGAAGAGCCTCGAATGTGGACACGTATCCGTAGCCTGTTGTTGTGCCTGTACTTTCAGCTGTACCACAGATTGATGAAGCTGAAAGAAAGACTGGACAGCGCTTTGCAGATGCTGGGGGCAGCTGCCGAAACGGTATAGGCTCTGTGTACAAAAACAAATCGCTAAATCTTTGACCATGTCTTAAAGGGGTCATATGATGCGATTTCAAGTTTTCCTTTCTCTTTGGAGTGTTACAAGCTGTTCGTGAATAGATAAGATCCCTAAAGTTGCAAAGACTAAAGTCTCAAACCCAAAGAGATATTCTTTATAAAAGTTAAGACTGGTCCACGCCATCCTAAAACGCCTCGTTTAAAAACGCCCCCACATGTCTTCTTCAAGATGTGGGAAGATTTGCATAACACCGCCCAAATGTTCACGCAAAGAAAGAAGGCGTAACTTTATTGTTGCTGCCACCGCCACCGCCATGTTGGGAAGACGCTGTGTGTTTGGTTGCGAAAGCGAAAGTACTTTGTTTGGCCTTCCAAAAGAGGACACGACTAGAAATCAGTGGTTAAGTTGTATTTACAACACGCGTTTGTTGTTTGTCATTTCTCCGATTACAAATGCAGACATTTGCAATGCAACGTTTAATGTTTGCATCAACGCAACGCGTAAAAAGACAGTATAAGTCATTATAATCCGTAATTATGTCCCCACTGGATGCAACAAATGCCTCGTTTATAATGGGTTTTAATGTTTTTGTTTCGTCGCTCCGGGACACGGCATCACAGTATGGTAAGGGGCGTAACATTTCCGTCACACACTTGAGGTATTCGGCCAATCACAATGCACTGGATAGCTGGCCAATCAGAGCACACCTCGCTTTTCAGACCGATGAGCTTTGTAAAAATCTACGCGTTTCAGAAAGGCGGGGCATAGAGGAGAAACAATAATGTACGATGTGGAAAATAATGGGGTTTTTTTTACCTTAAACCGCATAAACACATTTCATTACACCAAATACACAAAATAATGTTCTTTTTAGCAACATCATATGACCCCTTTAAGTAAATGCTCTGCCAAATTTTCATAAAGTCATAGTGACTTTCGAGGATGGTACAAATACTAAAGTACATGACGTGTAAGTATCAAGTCCTGAAACATTATCACTGGTAAATGGGGATCCAAACTGAGTGTTTTTATATTCCAGTTTAACAATTTTCATATTTTAATAGCTTATACATTTTTTTATTTGACTTTCCAACATGTAGAGAGAGAGAAAAAAAGACTTGGGCCCTTCAAAAGAGACCAGGGGCCTCATTTATGAACAATGCATAGAAAAGGTTTTATATTTTGTCCTTATATTTACACACATTCCTGCATATAAGTACAAATTGGTAGATCCCACACTTTGCGTGAAACTGTTCTTACGCACTCATCATGCACACATTTGTGCGTATGCACTGTTGATAAATGAGGGCCCAGGTTTATTATAGTTAACTAAAACTTAAAACTATGTTACTTGAAGTAAAATAAACGTTAACTGAAATAAAGTAAAGTTTAGTTTAACTTGATGTATTAAAGTAACTAAAACTGAAATAAAATAATTATAAAACTATATATTCATATTGAAAAACATGGAAAAAAAATACTAAATTACTTTAATTAAAATTAAAATTAAAACAGAAAATATAAATATATAAATTAATTAAAATTAATAATAAAAACAATCACTATAATATTTAAATAAACTATAAAATAAAAACTATAACAATATCTCAATTATACTAAAATAACACTGAAGGAGACCCAGGATAACGAGGATGTGATTCACGAGTCAGTGGTATGTTAAGATTAAATCACAAAATAAATATAGATGCAGACATGTCTGAGTGAGTGACTCAAACATATACACTGACAAGATGATATCTGCAAGGAGTGCCTCCTCAAACCATAGCTTATCCCCTCTTCTTTGAGTCTGAAGTTAAAATAGACAGTCTACGTGCTGCAGTACCATGCTGCAGTCATTCACTGTGCCCTGCCACCCTCAGGGCTTCCTGTCTGCACACTCACCCACATAGAATAAAATCACAGCAATTACTTGTTCCAAATCAAGACCCCTGAGACACATTCAGGCAAAGAAGGACATGGGGACGGGGAGAGAAAAGTTCAAGCTGTATTACTGAGCTGAAAACATAATATGTATGATCTTTTTCACACTAATCCGTACCATGCCAAAGTGATAACATGCCTAATATATAACAGAATTTATTCATACAATATTATTTTACATTTATGTTTCTAGTCACTTAGAAGTGGAGTATATTTATCTCCTCTGATTTTGTCATAGTCACTCATTTGTACACTTCTTCATATTAAAGTTAACGTTCAAGCTAGATAGAGACTTTAGCATCTGATAGTCTAGCATATTAATCCTTTAGTGACTCAAAATGGCAATAAAAATAAATTATGAAACGTTTCTGTTTGCGTAAAAGGAAGGCAATATTTTGTTTCTCAGAAATCAATGCTGAAATCAAGAAGTCGGGCTGCTTGTTTAGAGAGAAGATGGTCATGATTGAGCTGGAAGCCCAGTGGGATCTAGTGCTACGTGCCGTTTGGCTGTTGCTGCATGTGACTTAAACACCCACTAACCCACCCACACACACACACAGATAACACACTCAGTTACAGGATAAAAAAAATATGAGTTGGAGAACAAACATGCTTTCAGGAGAATCAAGCCCTCTTCCCTTAGACAACTGTACTGTTTGCCAGCATTTATATATGACAACATATATATATATTACTGCTTAAAGGTTTGAGGTCTCACTAAGATTATTATTTTAAAGAAATTAAAGGGGTCATATGATGCTATTTCTATTTTTCCTTTTCTTTAGTGTGTTATGTACTATTTGTGCATGTATAAGATCTGCAGAGTTACAAAGCTCAAAGTCTCCCACAAAAGGATTTATTCTATCTAAAAGAGAAGGCTGATTGTGCAAAAGCACTTTATTTGGCCTTCCAAAAATAGATGCAATGAGGAATCATTGGTTAAGATTTATTTACAACAGATTCAGCAAAGGCTTTAAATTGATATTTGTTAAATTGTTACAAAAAGTTTACATTTCAAGTAAATGCTGTTTTTTAACATTCCTAATCCTAAAAAAAGATGTATCTCAGTTTTCACAAAATTATTAAGTAGCATAGCTGTTTTCAACATTGTTAATAATAGAACATGTTTCTTGAATACCAACTTATCATATTAGAATAGTTTCTGAAGGATCATATGACACTGAAGACTGGAGTAATGGCTGCTGATAATTGAGCTTTGCCATCAGGGGAATATGTTACAATTTATTATAATATACTTATATTATATACAAAAAAAAAATATTTAAAAGAAATTAAACTAGATAGATATTTAAATTTTTATCAACAATTAATAAAATTATAATAAATTATTAATAAATTATAAATCAATTATAATGTGTGTATATATATATATATATATAATAATAATAATCAGGTCACTTTTTTTATTTTTATTTTAAGGTCCAATTCTCACTATCAACAAACCATTAACTATGACTTTTGCCTCAATAAACTACTAATTTGCTGCTTATTAATAAAGTAGTTGTTAAGTTTAGGTATTGGGTAGGATTAGGGATGTAGAATATGGTCATGCAGAATATGTGCTTTACAAGTACTAATAAACAGCCAATATGTTGATAATAGGCATGCTAATAAGCAACTAGTTAATATAGTGAGAATTGGTCCCTATACTAAAGTGTTACCAAAAATCATTACACAACATTATTTTTCCATTTTAGCTCTGTGCCCAGGAATCTACCCAATACCATCAGTGAAGCATAGAGTACCCCTCAGTTCTGCATGGTTAGACTGATGGGAAAATGTTGTTCTCGTGTCCAGATAGACCCTGCCTCAACTGACCTGTTAAGACACATGGCCTCTATCAGACAGACAGGCTCAGACTTGTCTACCCATACAGATCTCTCTGTTTTGTATGGGTAGACAAGTTTGTTTGCTGAGGATCAAAGGGCCAAGGTGGACTATTGTCTGTACAGGGTCCTTTATTGCTTTCCCAGCAGTAGGGTGGAAAGTAATTGGGGCTGAGAACATGAAAGCCCCAGTGTACTGTTTTCAAAAGAGTTTAATTAACAAACTCTAAAGACACCCCAGTGGGCCTGGAGTGCAGAAATGTGAGTGACAGATTGTGTTGTACCATGAGTGATGCTGAGCTGTCAGAGATACATACAGCAGTGAGACTTGGCAGCATAATGCCCTACAGTAATTCACGTGTTAATCACGGGCTGTGCTGTGGACCGGTGGCGAGGTGAGGGCCTGATGACAATGGGAACTGAGAACACAGTGGGGACCTTCCAATTTGGCTGACCACTTTCTCCTTCACCTAAATGAACCAACAATAGTAGGAGGGTCCTACTGCCAAACCAGGACTGTTTGTGCCTGTGTCTGCCAGACTGGCCCTGTTCTTTTGCTCTGTGTACTCACACTCATGTTGTCTGGTGGCAGATGAAGCTCCACGTGAGAGGTTGGCTGCTTGTGGTATGGACTGTGTGGAAAAGCCTTGATCATGAACAATCTTGATCTTCAACACAGTTCCCCAGTTCAAAATCTTTTTATTCTTCAAATCAACTTACGTGTAGTTTATTTGTCACATCTGGTTCAAAATTGTTTGTTTGATTATTATTTTAATGTGATAAGCAAATTCCGCACAAATGACTGTAAATTATTCTCTAGTGGTATTGATTAAACCCACTGATTTGAAGCTTTAGTTTGCGATTTTATTGGGTTCATTGGGATCATTGGTTCATTCAGTGGCCCTTTCTGCAGGTTACATTAGCTTCCATTGTCGAAGATTTTTATTAATCAAAGTAAGAATTAATCAAGTATAATCAAGGCGAATCTAGCCATTTATATATCCAGTTATTCTTCCATTATAATCACATATGCCTGTGTGTAAAAACAGCCTACGTGGCAGAATGTACAGACCCTCAGATGAGAAACATCTGGAAAAATAAATAAAGGCTTTCTTTCTTTACCATAACAAGACTTGGGGGGCCCCTTCTCTAGGGAGATATCGAATTATATGCATAAGGAAAACTGTATGGAAATATACCCCACGCCTTAAAGTCAAAACTGTATATAAAGAGAAGCATAAAAACATTCTAGAGATTTTTTTCTGCAGAGAACTTCTCCGCTTTATTCTCGTTGTAATAAAGTGTATCTTCTGGCATCAAAACTCAAGACTGAGTGTGGTTCCTCAGATTAGCGGCAGACGACACTACACCATCACCCTGTTTTTATGCAGATTTTGAAGTATCGCATCAGAAACGAGAACATGACCCCTGAGACACATTCCCATCCAAAGCTGTGAATTTAATTTGTGTGCAAAATTGGATATCGCATAAAACGTTTGCAAATAAAGCACCATTTCCATCCAACGAGTCAAAGAGAACAAAATAGTCACTTCCTGATAAAATGACATGGAAATGCCAAAATTTAAAAAAAAATCCCTTAATTCACAAAAAACTTTGTATGCTTTCTTGAGGTGGTTTTTGACTTGTGGGAAAAAGATTTAATGCGAATAATGGGAGATGGAAACGCATTTGCCAAATAAATTCCTCCATGCGCATCAAAAAACTCATGTGACTTTATACAATGGGATGGGATAACTTGACCAGCAGACCGATCTCGTTGCACAGCATCTCAAATGTTGTTTTGATCGTTCTGCAATGCCTGAGCCAAAGTCTGTCATCAAAGTATTTCTGTATAAATGCCTCCTAGAACTGTCTTACATGGCTGCGTTCCCAAACAGCAGGCATACACCTCCAAAAGTAATGACCGTATTTATTGCATTTCGTCTGCTTGCACTGAGGCGCAAGTGATTTATTATATATGAAAATTATTATATTTAGTTGCTTCTCCTGCTTTTCTTAGTGATTAGTGTCATTTTATCAGGAAGTGACTATTTTGTTCTCTTTGACTCGTTGGATGGAAATGGTGCTTTATTTGCAAACGTTTTATGCGATATCCAATTTTGCACACAAATTAAATTCACAGCTTTGGATGGAAATAGATATTTTTATCCAAATAGGTGGCAACAAATGAATATCTGAATCAGTGAGTCATTGAATTATTTACTCAACCGATTCTTCCAAGGAAACAAGTCGAACCATCCTTTTTAAAATGAGTGCGCCCACAAATCTACTAATAGACACCAGAAAAAGTATTTTCTGTCCATTTTGTCAACTGCTGGTCATGGTTTTATCAAGCTGTAGAAAAAAAAACTGGTCTCAAAAACCTCATTGTGAACAAAACTGATTTACTTGACAATTCATTCACTTTCAACGCAATGTTTCGTCAGCAGATTCTTTCTCCTTTCTTCATAAATAAGCTTTGTGGAAAAAAATGAATGGAAAATATGAGTCAGTGCATGAAGTGACCAAGAAAAATTCAAAATCACTCAAAAGATTCCATAAAATTCAATTCCATAAAAGTTCTAAACTATAAGTATTTCTCTTTATATTTTTAATATAGAAAATCACTAAGTGAATCTGGTTTTTGACCATGGGAAGAATTAAATAAGGCCAAATGAAATTAGATTAAAAAATGGACAAAGCAGGACATGGTGAGCAGAAGAGAGATTATAGTATTTAGGATAGCAGGTCTAAAAGTATGGAGTACTGTCTCTTGTTAGTCTGATAATGAGAGGTTTAATTGACCCCAACTGCGGCTGACAATGCCAGTTTTCACAGCAATTGCAGTTTCTACTGTTTGTTGATTTATTTGCACAGAGCAGTGAGTGTATCCCCAAAAAACCCATTCACGTTCCTGTGGGTATGTGAATAGAGTCATTACTGCCACTTGATCAAACTGTTAGGCCCCATTTCCAGGCCACTAGGTTCAGCAATAAAAACGTGGCTTAATTAAAGTTCTGCATATTGTCACATTCTCTTTTTAATTAATGCCTAATGGTGTCATTTTCAAGTCTACCATTGTCACTAATTTCCTGATTGGGTATTGGCTGTCATTTGTCATGCTCAGGTGGGTCTAACGCAGTTGATGGCGATGGTGGAGTCCCTGCTGCAGCTGCTTCTGTCATTTTACACGACTCAGGTGTATCGCGTGGAGGAGCTGCGTTCTCTTCTCATGGTTCAGCTCACATCAGGTATACAGGCACTGAAGGTTTTGCCCCCTGTACAGCAGATACTGGCTCTGCCTACCCAGGTACGCACTATCATGAACGACCTACTGGAACTGGGACAGATTCTCATACAGCTTGTCATCAACACCACCCCGCTCTATGACCTGGTGAGAGCATGCGTGCACGCACACACACACACATACAAGAACAACACTCTAGAACCTGTTCTAATGCACAATTTCTCTTAACAAGACATACAAGTACATGTTCTAGTGAAAAAGAACACTCTAGAATCCAACTAAACTGACAATATGTCAACTTTTTGTCTGTAAAAAGTTCTATTTTCTGAGGTTAGCAAAATGCATTTTAATTTTAAAAATCTGGTCTGACCGGTGGGGGGGACCAAAACAGAATGTGGGGTAATAGTCCATTTTCATTTCAGTGACAACATACCATTTTAATATGTAATGGATTATCAAAATTAAAACAAGACAAAGAACATAATTTCTCAGCAAATTATATGCAAAGAATTTATTTCAGTTACATTTCTTTAGTATCTTAAGCAATATATATAATTTCCTAAAAAAAGAACAATAGTCTACATAAACTTGTACTAAAATGTACATCAAAGTAAATGGTCAGTTAAGAACAAATTAACAAAATTACAGTCACTGCATATTTTATGCAAATTTGCAATTTTTATGTTTTCACAAATGAAATACACAGTGCTTGAAATTTGTCAGTATTTAGGGATGAAATACTATAATGTATAAATTTAATATAGAATTAGTCCTTATTAAAGGTAAAGGAGTTATTCAGTCAAGAGCAGATTTGAGCAGAGTGATTTTTCTTATTTTCTTTTGTTATTTATCAAACATAAACCATAATAAATGGCACGAGATAGCAGCAGGTATATTAAGCTCATGTGACTTTAAGACCAAATGTACAGATCTGATTTACATTCAAGTATTATTTAAGACTGTGCATACAAAGGTACTCGCCAAAATGGGCATTTTGACTTTTGTGTTTGTTTGTCTGTCACAAAAGAGACCTCAGCACAGGTACCGAATTGAATTACTTTCGTGTCTTCTTGTGCTTGAATGGTTTAAAATCATTTAGGGTAGGTGTTACTAGTGAGAAGCAAAGATTTTCGAAGCTTTGAATCAGTTAAACCAGTTGCTTCACAGAATGATTCACTGTTTTGAAGCACTCAATGCCCGTCAGTATGGTGTAAATGCAACGGAAGCTCGATTTAAACATGCATAGAAACACCTTTTACAAACCAACTGCAAATCTGTAATTAAAATAAGAGACTAACAACAACTCTTGAAAATGTCTACAAATGTATAAAACTGATCCAAGATCAGGGGAAATCCATATAGGCACTAGTTCATATGTTCATAGAGACTGAACCATTGAAATTTCTACACATTATGAAACAGTTATAATGTGCCAAAGCCTTGTTCACTGAAATCACATGACTTTGGCAGGTTTGATACGTGCTCTGAATCACTGGTTTGAAATAAATGATTCAAAAAAGATTCAAAGTTTCGAAAATTTGGATTTAGAAATGCCACTCACTGGACTTTTCCCTTTGAAAGTGTTGTGAAATATGCAAGAAATAATATAAATTTTCGTGAAATGTCGGAACAGCCACATTTTCCCAATGAGTCTGGTTTAAATTAAATTGCTGCATAAAATTTTCAAAATAATCAAAGTACCAGAGACTTGGGTTACAGCTGTTCCTCTCTTATCTCTCAGGTAAAACAGGTTTCTGATCTCGATGCAGCAAACAATCCAGTTCCAGATGAACTTCCTGAGAGTCCCTCCAGCCGTGCCTCTGCAAACAGCCTCTTCCTCAAGGCCATGGACGGTCGCCCATGTCGCCGCAGAAGCCTTTACGCCCGCTCCCGTCGCGGGTCTGCCAGCGGGCTTCCATCAAGCCCAGCTCTCTCCCCAACTCCCACCCCAGTCCCAGCAAATGGCCGCAAAGGCAGTTTGAAGCTAGATTCCCAGCCCTCAGGCCCTCCAGAACATGACACACTGGCTGTGCCCACCACCGATATGATCCGCCGCCATTCCTCAGCCACCGAGGTCCTGCTGGCTCCCATTATGCAGTTAGTTACACAGAGCCAACGGGCGTTCGAGTTTCTGAGCTCTGGCCCTTCATCTGAAGATCAGGTCATACCTGTGGTGGAAACCACAGAACATTAAGCTCCACTCTTCTCAAACATAAGATCTGAATGTAATCAGAGCATTCAAACACACATCGCTGCAGCTCACAGGCTGTTATGGATAGTACAGCAAACATACCTTCAAACCACAATCCATACAGTGGCTTCTCTGGTAAACCTACAAAAACAAATCTGGTTGGTAGAGACAGTGCAGTGACTAATTATTAAATAACATAATTAGCCTAGCATTCAGTATGTGCAGATGGTTTAAAAGCTCAAATAAAGCACTGTACTTAAAATGAAATCAAAGTGCCGTTTGGGTAGGTAGTGTTTTTTTGCTTTGAATGCCTGTTTCTAGATGTTAGGACAAAGAAACAACTCAACAAGTGAGCAGAAATGACAAGAGCACAATTTTTTCTATATGTTATTATTGTTAGCATGTAATGCATTTTGTTTAAACCAAATAAAACTATTTCTATTCCTCAGCTTTCTTAGTTCTTATACATTATAAGCAGTTTTTAATCTATAGACTGTCAATGACTGATAGAATTGGTTTGACATGCAGTCTGAGGTCACGGATGTTCAATTGAGAGGAGAGGATAAGATACTGTTAATGTTACTTTGATTATTCATGGGGCGTTTTATGTTTCAAGATCAAGGATGTGTAGTTACCGAGTGGGAAACATAAAGTGAAGTGTGTTATACATAGACAGGCATGTACTGTCACTAACTGGTGTTAAATGACTTGGTGGACATTTATAGCTAAAATCCTAACAGCCTTTATCTTGTAGTGCTTTTTCCTTTAACAAATGTAATATTGACTTTAAATGTAATAAAACATTTTATAAATTCTGATTGTTGTTTTGAGTGCTGTTTGAGCATAGAATGAATTGTGTAAAAATGGTTAAATTGTAATATTTCACTATATTAGTTTTTACTGTATTTTTGATTAAATAATTAGGTAACCATAAGAGATTCAAATACTATACTATGGTTCAAAATTTTGGGGTCATTAAGACGTTTTTAAAACCAGTCAAATGCAATCTAAATGTTTAATAAAATACAGTAAATATACAGCATAGTTAAAAATAATCAAGGCATCTTTTACATTTTTTTCACTTTATTGAAATCCCTCGTTTAGATACAAGCATTAAAAACATCTCAAAAAAGGTCTTCAACTAAATTACATCATGTTTATATACAAAAGTGAAAGATTAAAGTATATACAGGTCAATAATATGTCAATGGCATCTCTTTAGTTCTTAAGGCTGTTCACACCAAGAAATAATTATAATGATAACTTTAACAGTAACTATGTTGTCGTACACACCAAAGGACAACAAAGGCTCAAGCTTACGTCATGTTAATTCTGATTGGATGTCAATAGTTTTATATTTCATCAGCAGGAAAAAAAAATTTGTTCTGAATTGTTCCTATGTGTCACTATCATTATAACTGTGGTTTATAGTTACAATTATCATCCTTGGTGTGAACGTGCCTTTACTTGAGTAATATTTATACTACCACCAACCTCAAAGAAACTAGCCAGGAAACATTCTTATGGAAATTACAATATATACATAAAATATCTATATACATTTTACTACACATAGTCTCCTCCCAATTCCCACATTTAATAATTCACATCTAAATGTCAGTGGAGACTCATAATGGAACAATTCAGTCCATCTCTACATTTCAGGCATCTGTAATCCAAAGCAGAAGCTCACTCGAATTTGTCTAAATCATCTGTTCAGAGCTGAAGAATCATTCTGTGACAAATGGCAAGGACTACGACAGATCCGGGCTGTCTCTTGGTTCATTTTGATACACATACCCAGTGACCAACTTGCATCAAAGCCCAGGATCACTTATCTTCAGCACATCTTTTATCACCTTGCTGTAACCAACTTCATCTACTTTTCTTCACCATAAAGCTGGGCTCTGAACTTCTAACATGCTCTCTTTTTACTCTTTTTCCTTCCACCATCCATGAAGGTTAATAAGGTGAAAGTGACTCCCTTCTGCCCCAAAAACCCATCGGCCGGGGTCCTCTTCTCAGCTATTTAGATGCTAGGCTGCCAGGGGCCCCATATCTTCATCTTGCTCATCATCTTCGACAGTTCTTCATTCTCGTTTCTTTCCAAACACTGCGGACACGCTTCTGACTATACCCATGATTCCGACCATCCCCTTTTTAAGTGCTCTGGACTCCTTGATGAGGTCCAGGATTTCGTGAAAAACCAGCAGCACACCGTGGTAGGTTTCAGCCGCTGAGATCTCGAAGAAGCCGCAGTCTGCCGAGAGGGCGAACAGTCTGCCCTCCTCGCTCGACACGGCTCTCTGATGCAGCAGGTCTTGCTTGTTCCCCACGATGATGATCGGGGCAGATGCAGGCAGCTTCCTAGTCTGCCGGATGAGCTGCACCTGTTGCCGGACCACCTCAAAGCTGGAGCGATCACAGATGCTGTAGACCAGGATCACGCCGTCTGCCCACTGCAGCTGCTTGTCACTGATGGAGTCAGTTGTTTCGCAGCTCTGGAGGTGACAGAATTTAGAGGGTCAAATCACATTAACTTGAACAGGAAAGCATGATGCAAAAAAACTGTATAAATGAATTTTAATCTCACAATTTTGCCTCTTCATACATTCTAATATTGAAGCACAAATATTTCAAACAAAATACACATACCTGTGGATACAGTGAGTCCCAAATGTTTAAGGCTATCTCTCGCCCATCTGTTTTGTCAATATGACTGTATATTGATTCTGAAAGAGAGCATAGTGAAATTAATAAATACTCCTCGTTCATAAACAACATATAGCTTGTATGTTATTATGAATGGTATTATAGTAAATCTCATTTGACATACCGATATCCCCATATTCTCCGATGAACCTTCTGGTGAGAAATCGCACAGTGAGGGCTGCAAACAAATAAATATATTATTATTGGCAAGCTTAACAAATAGACCATATAAACATGACAGAATTCTCTGCATTCAAAGTCAAGTTCAGTTTTGTGCTCACCTGACTTCCCAACATTTTCTGCTCCAAGCAGCAGAACATTGGCCACAACTTTGTGCTGATTTCCATCCATTGCTTTGCTGCCCAACTGAGGACTTGGTTTGACCAGAACAACCATTTCACCTAGTGAACCCTGTGAATGTCTTGTGTTTCGTGTAAGCTTCACATTCTACTGCAATTATATATAAAAACAGTGGGTGGGGGCTTATAGAATTTAAGTCGACTTCAAACCAATCAGAGAACAGTGCGCCTATTCGCATAAGCAAACCGCCCAAAACTGGTCCTATCAAGTAGCCCCGTGTTATTTGCGTCAACAGCAAACGTTTTTTTCCTCTTTCGACCACAATCAACTCATACCGACCTCAAAAATTTGCCAACGCGACAGAGCCATTAATCCAGCTTGTTTTGTTTGCTGTTTGCATTCGTGCAAAACAAAAGATTTGAAAACGTTTTTATAACAAAATCGTAAGGATACACTTGTATGTTTTCTGCAACGTAGGACATTATATTCCAGAGACTGACTTTTATTTAAACTGACAGCTTAAAAGTTTTTGTTACATGAATGTATAGGCCTACGTTTATATATAAAAGGTAGACAGCCTTTTTAATTGTTTATTTTTGCTAAACGCTTTTTATGCATGGATATTATTTGCCCATGTCCCTGATCTAGACTTAAATCAATCCTTCATACTCAAATTTAAATTCCCACAATTATAATCTAAACAAAGAGTGAAATTAAAAACAACAACCATTTTAATGTGATATCGCATTATTTCATTTCATCATATTTCATTATTGCAGCACAACTGCTGCGCGGCGGGACAAATAACTGTGCGTTCACACCGCCGGCGGCGAGAGCGTCAAAGTGACCGGAAGACATTCATTTTCAATGTGAGCGGGCGGCGAAAGGCGGCGAAAAGCGGCGAGGAGCGGCGCGGCGCGTCTTGGCCGGCGAGGGCGTCAAGGAGAGTTGAAATCAGCGCCGCCGGCGGTGTGAACGCACAGTTAGCTGATGCTTGCCTTAAAAGCACCACTGAAAGTCAAGCGACCAAAGGATCCTCGCGCCCTCGGCTGGCATCACAGCTACATAACATCCAATAATGCTAATAATTTGCAACCCACACGCATAAATCGATCGTGGCAGATCAAGGCATCAAGTGACCACAGAAAGAAATTGTGAGCTTGAATGAAATAATCTGTTTAATACACATCTTACTTAAAGGCAAAGCTAAATAAACAAACTACTACAATAAACAGAAAGTGATCTGGTTCCCTCTTCACAAGAGAATACAGAAGTATTTTTGCGAATTTCAAAAGCAAGTAATGACTGATGCACTTCAGTGTTCAGCAGCTGTAGTGTTTCCACAGCCATCTCCCTCGTTCCCTTTATCAGTGCAGGATTTCTTTGCAGCTGTACCGGAGTTTGCCATGACAAACTCTCTCATGCGTTTCAAAGTGTTTCTGTGCTTCTCTCGTTCAGTCTCTGGATCCTTGCTGCTGGACTGTTTCAAGAGAGAAGCATGGAGACTCTCCCCAAAAGATTCATTCAGCTGTTGCTGGAAAGATTTTTGAAGTTTAACAACCATGTTTGTCCTCTACAGAAATAAAAATAGCATGTCATTATTATGGAACATTCAATTAAATTATAATTAGGTATGAATTTGTAGTCCTTCAAAGAAGAAGCTTAGCAGTTAAATTACACATGACTGTGATGAGTGATTTGCCTCAGAGTTTATCATCAAGATGTCAAAGAGAGTCCAAACATCTGACACCAGTTCAGCAGCAGTCCGATAAGGAGGCTTCCGTTTCCCCAGGAGTCGGCCGAGTATTATATCAAATTCGGCTGTTTTTGAGTGATTCTTTAAAAATAAAGCACAACTCATAAGATCATTTTAATCTGGATCTATTTATTCGAAAACACATTCAAATGTGAAGCAAAGAACAAAATCATGTGGTGTGACAAGGCAGAAGCATTCAGAAAAAATAAGGAAATGAAATCAAACAGAGGAGCCCTGAAGACTGACTGTGATGGTATATTAATGATGACTGTGTATCATTAATATTATCAGATAATTTGCCTATGAAATGGCAAAATTAGTTCAGGTTGTAAAATGTCATATGGTATGTTATTATTATGAATTAATAATTATATTATTACATCTGATATATTTACATTCATATATATTATTAACTATCGTGACATTTAAAAATTTACATTAAAATTCATTTCTAAAAAAAAGTGAAAATTCTTAAGATGTAAACACTTGCATGTATTCAATGTGTAACGAAAATGTGTTTTTAATTGATAGTTACACACATGACTTTTTCATTAAAGTCATTCAATTTAAACTTTTGTTGAAATGGTATAAAAGTTTTTTTTTGTTTCTTTTCAAAAACAGCACAAATACAGAGTATATTTCTAAAAACTTAACACAAGCTAGAATCGAATTTCTCTTTATGTTGTACATTCTTATTTGTCATTAACTATTCAATAAACTGCCTGGAATAATAATATCATTGGAAAATTGGAATATCATCAGTATTTGTGACTGTGACATGCACTGTGCATTTACCTTGGTGGCGCTGTAGAGCAGGCTCTTGTTCTCATCACACAGGAGACCAAGGACAAGCTTCTCACACTTCTGAACATAATGGATGACATTGCATTGGTGTGACTTTATATCATTTTAGGACAAGAAATAAAAGATGTGGCATAACACCATGCTAAACTACAATCCTCTAAAATATCATTTTAAAAAGTGTAACTATGAATGTAGATTCTTTCAGGCTGGTGGTGTCTCACTCTTTGATCTTGCAGGCTCAGACTAGGCGTCCTCATCTCCTCACTGCCATACACGACTGTCTCATTTACATCCTGACATAGCAAACACACCCAATCCTTACTGCAAGAGAAAAGAAATGCACCAAGACTCAAACAGAGGACAAAGAAAACAGATATTGTTCTTAAATGCACAAGCTTATCAAACTCCAATATCTTATAAACCATAAATACTCCAAAACTATTCAAAAATCAAGAATTGTACAGTGTGACAGTTTCTGATGGTCTCACCAAGGTTTTGTGAGAACTGGTGGGATGTGACAGTCAGAGTGGAAAGCACAGCCACATTTTGCACACAGAAGTGCAGCTCCTGCAGACAGACACAAGGCACAGAACTCTACGTCAGATGCCGGGGAGCTGTCGCCGTCTTCTTGGGATACAGAGCAAGAAGAGGATCTAGATGCTATTGGATCTTCATACCATCTCCACACCTGGTTAACCTGGGGAAGAGCAGGGCACAATTGAGAATAGCTGTGGTGCTAACATGGCTTACAACAGTCATATGTACTCTGTGTGTGTTGCCTTGCCTGTCCTCCCTGGGATTCCTGCACGAAGATGTGATCTGTGGAGGTATCTGCAGTAAGGTGGAACTCTGGGAGTGGCTGTCCACTTGGAGGCAGAGAGATGGGCAGACGCACAAGAGAAACACGTAGAGACCTATTCAACAGAAAACAGTGGTGTCCAGTCAAAAAAAAGAAAAAAAGAAAGATGTATACACTACCATTCAATGGTTAGGGGTAAGTTTTTTTTAAAGAAAATAATCCTTATTGAGCAAGGACACATTTAATTGATCAAAAGTGATTGTAAAGACATATAATTAAGTTATAAAATATTTATATTTCAAATAACTGCTGTACTTTTGAACTTCTATTCAAGGAATCATGATTAAATGTATCACGGTTTTCACATAAACACTGAGCAGCACACTGTTTTCAACATTGCTAACAAAAATATGTTTCTTGAGCAGCAAATCAGCATATCAGAATGATTTCTGAAGGACCATGTGACACTGAAGACTGGAGTAATGGCTGCAGAATTACAGGGATAAATTACATTTTAAAATATATTAAAACAGGATTTACAAAAGAATAAAATGGTAATTTTACATTGTAATATATCAATAGTTTTCACTTTATTTTTGATTAAATAAATACAGCCTTGGTGAGCAAAGCGACTTCTTTCCAAAAATTTGGGACGAGACTGTAAATACTATTAACACTATTAATAATATTATTACAACACTGGAGGTGTTGTGTTCAGATTGTCTGACCTGACAGGTATGCATGTTGCCTCTACAAGCTGACGGAAAGTTGTCGGCATGCCAATGCTCCAGTGTTTTGGTCCAGAGTAGTTCTTGTTGGATGACTGACAGTCTTGAGCTTGACTTGAACATTTCTCTGTGGTGGTGGTGGTGGTGGTGATGATGGAGAGAGAGTTCTGGTGAATGTTGGATGGGCCAGAGGAGCGGCCAGGATCTAGTGAAGGTTCTTTGGGAGCTGCCCCCGACACAAGGGAGGTGGGCAAGTTGCTCTCCAGATGGTCCGTATCAGTGAAATTCGTGCTGCTCACACCTGCATCCTGATCACAGGCGGAATCAGCCAAGGCCTTGACTGGGAGGTTATGGCTATTGTAGGTGCCTCTCTTACACCGAAGGGTGTTGTTGCCATCAATGGGAGTAGAAGGCATTGGGTTTACAGGAAGGACATTAGAGATTGCAGTAGCATCATTTAAAGAAAGTGTGTTTATTGTTGAAAGGACAGTTAAGGGAATACTGGGTTGCACAGAGAAAGAAAGTCCGGGCCCCAGGAAGTTGGTTTGTACTGGATGGGTCAGTATGAGTGCGAGGTTGTAAGTTGGTATAGAATGAGTAAGTATGGTTGATTGGTTGTTGGCTGGTATTGGTTGGATTAATACGGGTGTTTGGTTGTTGGCTGGTATAGGATGGATTAGTATGGGTGTTTGGTTGTTGACTGGGATTGGTTGAATTAATACAGGTATTTGGTTGTTGGCTGGTATTGATTCAATTAGTTCAGGTGGTTGGTTGTTGGCTGGTATTTGATGAGTTGTTACGGGTGTTTGGTTGTTGACTGAAATTAGTTGTTTTTGGTTATTGACTGGCATTTGATGAGTTAGTAGGAGTGTTTGATTGTTGATGGGCATTGTATGAGTTAGTACAGGTGTTTGGTTGTTGGCTGGTATTGGATGACTTGGTGCGAGTGTTTGGTTGTTGGCTGGTATTGGATGAGTTGGTACGAGTGTTTGGTTGTTGATGGGCATTGTATGAGTTAATACAGGTGTTTGGATGTTGGCTGGTATTGGATGAGTTGGTGCGAGTGTTTGGTTGTTGGCTGGTATTGGATGAGTTGGTACGAGTGTTTGGTTGTTGATGGGCATTGTATGAGTTAATACAGGTGTTTGGATGTTGGCTGGTATTGGATGAGTTGGTGCGAGTGTTTGGTTGTTGGCTGGTATTGGATGAGTTGGTACGAGTGTTTGGTTGTTGATGGGCATTATATGAGTTAGTACAGGTGTTTGGTTGTTGAGTGGCATTCGATGAGTTATTAGGGGTGTCTGGCTGTTGGCAGGCAATAGATGAGTTAGTCCAAGTGTTTGGCTGTTGGCTGGTATTGGATGAGTTGTTACAGGTGTCTGGTTGTTGACTGAAATTGGCTGTCTTTGGTTATTGACTGGCATTTGATGAGTTAGTAGGGGTGTTTGGTTATTGACTGGTATTTGATGAGTTAGTAGGGGTGTTTGGTTGTTCACTGGCATTGGATAAGTTATTACAGGTGTTTGGTTGTTGGCTGGCACTGGATGAGTTGGTATGAGTGTTTGGTTGTTGGCTGGTATTGGATGAGTTGTTACGGGTGTTTGGTTGTTGACTGGAATTGGCATTGGGCGGGTGAGTATGCGTGTATGAGAGACCTGCATGGTAGGGCAATAGGCCTTCCTACATTTGGCTGACTCAGAGATATTGTTTATTTGAGATGCTGTGAGGTTCGTGAGTGGAAGACGAGGCTGAGAATAAACCGACGGAGAAGAATTCATGTGAGTTTTAGGAGCAGACTGAGGAAAATATGGGACACAGTTCAATGAGGGACTGTAAGCATGCTTGGTTTGCTCAGACATGACTTCATGGTACTGGACTTGGACAGATGGTGAAGAAGAAAATGAACTCTGATGATCTGAAGAGGAAGGTTCAGATTGATTAGGTTGAGAAGAGGCAACATTGTTACATGCAAAGCGGGTTGTGGCCTGGTTAGAATGAGATGGCTGGCTGGGCTGAGATGGATGAGGCAGACTAGGAAGGGCCTGGTCCATTTGCACAGTCTGAGAGGAGGCACAGGGATTTTGATTTGAGCTTTTCACAGACTCAGAATCTAACTGAGTGGAACCAGTTCTCTGAGAGGTGAATGGAACAAGAACCCTTCTAATCCTCAAAAATCCTGGGCATAAAGAAATGAAAAGATGTTACATTTATAGATTTCTTTTAATAAAATGTAAATACATTTTTGTAATAAAAAAGCAGACGTTTTTGTTTACCACATTTCATGATGTGCTGACAGAGTTCATTCTGAATCTGAATGTGCAGTTCAATCATGGTCTCAGGGGTGCATGCCTTCTGGGTCAGAAGCTTTTTCACTTGGGTCTCAATCTGAGTTAGAGACACAAAAAATATAGCAGAGGGCTAAACAAACACTCAGAATCTGAATGACAGCCAGTTTTAGTCACAAATACAGTAATACAGTGACATCACATGAAATAGATTTTTTTTTTCGATTTAAAATGCCCTTAAAAAACTCCAGTACACTTCTGTTGCTTGATTTGAGTACATTCACATTTACATTTACCACGCGTGGACAGAGGCGTCACCAGATTTTTGCGTAGTTTAGTGTGACAAATCGTACCAGCATACTTGAGGTCAAAATGCGTAGCCACTACGCAAAATGCGTACAGGTTGGCAGGTCTGTTAGTGCATTAATGCAGGCAATTAATTTTTCCAGTTTAATAGCATTAAAAATATTTAATGTAGTTAATGCAGGGGCGGAGCTAGGGTTGGCCACCCACTAACAAATGCTGCTTCTGTCTCTTGTTTTCTTGACAAGAATTGCGTTTATTTAGACGTAGAATGTCTTTACGACCACATCAAACAGGAGACTTTCAGACAAACTCCACTTCACCTCAGTGGCCAGGCAGGCACTAGTCAAACGTGCGTGGAAACGGTACAGGTGATGAGGGAGCTTTAGTAAAACAACAGCGAACTGCGATCAGATGAGATGTTGTCAGGCCATATTTCAGTAAAAATGAATTTTCCTGTCCTGTCAGCCATTATACTGTGCTCATAATGCATGCCCTTCAATTGCATGCACAAATACGGCGGCGTGTACTGTAGCCTGTATCATTACATATTAAAGTACGAATTAAACTACGAGCGTGCGTGTCAGGTCCGCGTCGTGTTCAGCAGCGGCAGCTCTTAAAGTAACAGCAGCCAAATAACCTAATTACCCAGCTGCTGTGATGTCTGTTAATCAAAGAACAAAAGAAAAAAGAGGAAATCAATAACATTTGTAGCTTTAAGCATTGATCTATATATAATTTAGAATTTAGTGTTGATAACTTTATTCAATTTATGTATATATCATACTTGCTGAAGGGCACAGGTAAATATGACATTTATTATAATGGGTTTATGTGAAGATTGTTTTCAGTTCACTTAAATTAGAAGCTGTTATTTTTTTAAAGTCAAATGTTCAAATTGATAGTTCTCAATTATACTGTAATGTTGAATGGCTATAGTCAATGGTTAAATATTAGGGAAAAAAGAACAATATCCTAGAGATATCAGTAGTATTGGTATCAGTGATACTCACCTTCAGCCATAAAAAATGATGCCACTAAACAGTCTTTATGTTGTTTCTACATTAACTTGAAGATTAAATGTGAAATTATTGCAATATAAAAGTATATTTAAAAACTTTAATGTAATCGTGATTAATTTTAGAAAAAAAAATGTGCAATTAATTAAATTTTTTTAAATTGATTGACCGCACTAAATACAAATGAATGCACCTCACCTCAAAGCATATGATAGAGCTAATATTATCCTGAACAAATCT